TACCTTGTTTACAGGAAATGACGTCAACGTAATATGACGTCAAGGACAACGACGTCAAAATGGAATACATAATTTGGCGTTTAATCTTACATATATAATAACATACATGTAGAAAGGTGCCTTGCAGGTCTAGGCCGGCAATTTTTAACTACATATATATATAAATATACTATATATATATATTTATATATAAATTATTCGAAAATGCCCGGCGAGTATTGCCATGTCGAGGCTCTTTATGAAGCTCATGGTATCTATAACAGTTTGAGAGTAATGTATATGTTATTCATACATAAGGAGTCAGTAGGGAGTGTGTAGCAGGTTGGAATACAACACAGCCGTCCGGTTCGATTCCCGGCCGCAATTGATATCGAAGCTAGTGTTCAGTGCTCGGTGAATTACTTAATAGGGTATTGTTTCCAGCAATATCGGCCTAGACTGGATGCTGGGGAGGTATATGACGCTTACCGTGGGCACGACGTGAAAAAAGTGGTTTCATCCATTCAAAGCGGGGACCTTTCGTCGATTAGCCACGTTAAACAAGAAACTTTACCTTTACTTTTAATAGTGTTGCATGGTAGTAATTTCTAATTATGGCGTTGATGAACTGTTGTAAATTACATTAACAATATTGACTTGCAAATCCTTGCGATCATGTACATGCAAGTATAAACGATTATCGATTATTAGATATGAATTCCTGAAAAAAAATCAGATCATGTTAATAAATCATTTGTTCTCGTTTCGTTCCGTTTCGCAAAGTACCAATACCTGTGTGGGTATTGGTAATTTGCGTAACGTAACGAAACAAGACGAATTTTATTTCATTTCTTAACCTGCTGCATGTGAGACAGCTTATGTTTAGTACCATTTTACAAGATGACCGGTAAATCATATAAGGTTGCTCTCTGATTCATATACATGAACAAATGCGCTTGACAACAGATGTTCGATTTATAATCATTTGGTGCTATGCTGATTTATATACATGAACAAATGGGCTCGACAACAGATGTTCGATTTATAATCATTTGGTGCTTTGCTTTTAACTACAAATGATAGATAACTTGTTTTATTCCTTTCACCGATTTAATTATCTAAACGTTTTGAATTTTTGTTTCGTTCCGTTTCGCAAAATACCAATACCCGTGTGGGTAACGGTATTTTGCGTAACGTAACGGAACAAGACTAAAAATTAATGTTTTGCGTAATATGAGTTTCAGTGGACATTATACACCATTCGACTATGATTATACAGAGTTCATATAATTTACTATATAAGTTATTATTATGATTATGTTGATTTTTTCCAAATTTTAAGTTGACTCCTTAATTTCCCCTAAATGGTGCCCCTTGTTCCGTTTCGTTTCGTTACGTTCCATTTCGCAAAGTACCAATAGCCAAAATATAACAAAAGTTTTCAAACTGACAGAATACCTGAAATAATGCTTGATAGTGAAAGAAGGACAATGCAGGGATTTTAAAGTTCACAGAGGAGGATAATTTCATGCTCATGTTATTGGTAACAGTGACTTAAAATAATGCCCCTCATTCAAATTCATACTTAAATTGGTAATAGAGATAGACAATGAACATATCTCTTGGATTGCCCCCTAAGTACCAACATGAATGTGTAATTAATCCATGAAAAACCTTCAAATATTAATGAAATAGTGATTTTAAAAGGTAACTCTTCTGCGGGCAACATAACTTTTAAAGTGCTTAAATGTTATGTGACAACCTAAGATAACAAGAACCTGTTGAGACCGGTGATGCTCCCCGAATTGGTTTTGAACACAGAAAAGTATACCTATCGTAGTTTCAGAGTTATGTCCCGGACAAAGTGCAATAATTCCAAATGTAGAACAAAGTTCAAAATGTAAATATGAACAAAGAGCAATAACTCTAAAATAAGGCAAGGCAGAGTTACAGTTCTTGTGGATTGCAAATCTACCCAATTAGATTTATCTTCCTACAAATTTTCATGTTGATAGCTCTTATAGTTTCAGAGTTATGTTCCGGACAAAGTTCAATAAGTAAAAATGAACAAAAGGCAATTTCTCAAAAATTAGGCATGGCAGAGTTATTGTTATTTTGCACTGCACTTCTACCCAATGAGATCTATCTACCTACAAAGTTTTATGTTGATAACTCTTATAGTTTCAGAGTTATGTCCCGGACAAAGTTCAAAGTATAAAAATAAACAAAGGGCACTAACTCCAAAATAAGGCAAAACAGAGTTGTTTTTTTTGCACTGCACATCTACCCAATGAGATCTATCTTCTTACAAAGTTTCACGTTGATACCTCTTGTTGTTTCAGAGTTATGTCCTGGACAAGAAAGTGGACTGACGTCTGGCTCAAATGGAATAAGGGGCCATTTCTTTTGGGTTTTTTTCTTTTGTTTAATAGAGGGCCAATGGCACCTTACTCATTTGTTACGGAATGAACTCTATTATTCTCTTTTGTTCTGTTTACAGTTATATGGCCCCCTATCCCTATTGGGTAGTGCGGACAGACAGACGGACAAAGCGGCAACTATATACTCACCCTTCAGGGAGCATTATGAAACAGATATTAGTTATCAGGACTCAGTGGAGCTTATTAAGGACTTGGTACAAAATTGTCACACGTCTTTACAATACTAATATGAAGACTTGTTATGAATCAGTCAACATTCTCATCTTGTACAAAAATATACTTCATGTGAGACAGTCATGGTCAAAAGAGTTGTCCTTAAATGGTTTTTTATATTTGGTTTCTTGTTTCAGTTAACTAAATAATTATATTTACTGGCCATATAAGTAATTATGAAATTAAAAACAAAGTTTGCACTCCTGCCTGAACAAGCAATTATCATAGTATTGCAGGCAATCCATAAGTCCCCTACCGGTAAGAGCCCAAGCAACATTCTGAAGGGCCATTGGCCATTCACTTAGGTTCCTATTTTAAGTAAATTTGTTGAAAAAGTTCTTTAAAAGTGATCACAGGAAACAGTTTTTATGTACAGACAGACGGACTGAAGGACACTCTAAAAGTTATTTTTTAAACATCCCTGTTATCAAAATATAACATTTTTAAAATCCTATCATGATTGAAGAAGTTGGAGTAAAAATTACCAATTTCTCAAGTTCAAAAGGGGCATAATTCTGGAAATAGTCTTGCTAGAGTATTGAACACTCACAAATGTTGAGTGATAATAAGAAACATTTATATGAAGTTTGAAGTAGATACATTCAGAAAAAGAAGTTATTAAAAAAACAATGTTTTTTTTCATGAAAATTTTAAGTTCAAGGGAGGTAATTCTAATAAATTTTGTGCTAGAGTTGTAAACCTTGTCACATATGATGTGGTTGATGACAAGCAACTTATATTTAAAGTTTGAAGAAAATACCTTAAGAAATAAAGAACTTATAGTGAAAAACTTAAAAAACTAGAATCAAAAATCCTGAAATTCAGTTTATTTGTTGCCATAGCAACCAGAATTTTCAACATAGGAAGATAAGAAAAGGATGTGCATAATTTCCATACTGCCATCTACCCATATGTCAAGTTTCATAAACATATTTTCAGTACTTTTTGTGTTATCACTAGATCCAGGTTATGTGTATAATTTGCCATATTTTCAGTCTATTTGTTGCCATAGCAACCAGAATTTTCAACATAGGAAGAAAAGAAAAAGACGTGCATAATCTCCATACTGCCATCTATCCATATATCAAGTTTCATAAAAATATTTTCAGTACTTTTTGCGTTATCGCGGGATCCAGGTTATGTGTAAAATTTGCAATATTTTCAGTCTATTTGTTGCCATAGCAACCAGAATTTTCAACACAGGAAGAAAAGAAAAAGACGTGCATAATCTCCATACTGCCATCTATCCATATATCAAGTTTCATTAAAATATTTTCAGTACTTTTTGCGTTATCGCGGGATCCAGTTTTGTGGACGGACAGACAGACGGACGGACGGACTGACGGACGGACAGACAGACAGACGGACGGAGGGTAAACCTAAAGTCCCCTCCGGTAAACCGGTAGGGGACTAAAAATAAATATTTCATGTTTCAAAGCAATATCCAAGTATGGAAAGGTTAATAATTTTGTCAAAATTCCTAACAAGAGTTATATCCTCTTGTCTGGAAGTTAAACCAATGGTCATTAACAAGTATAAAATACTTCAAAAACAAAACCTTAAAGTGTAAAGTGGAACATATGATAATCATTACTGAAATTCTAAGCCAAAAAGGCATTCAGTAGTAGTTATGTCAAATTCCAGAGTACTGCTATTTTACCTGGAAATGGGGATGATCGTCATTAACAAAGTAAATTTTTTCTTTCAAAATTTCAAAGCAATAATGAAAAAAGATTATTTAGATTTAGACAGTATAATACTAATGGTTGAAATTATCAGTACCATTAGTGACACCTGCATAGCAGGATAGCTCTTCATGTTATAATAGTTATATTACATAAGAGCAGACCAAGTCCTCAATATTTACCAAAATAAAGAGCCATAAAAAGTAACAAGTTAGTAAAACTTACGCATGCAATATTATTAGCACTTACTTTTTTCAAGATGATTCATTGATGAATAAAAAACTTTTCTGTATTATTCTCTTATAAAGACCAAATACATGAGCACACAACAACAGATCATTACTATTTTGTGATAATTTAACATTAACTAATTGAAACTTCTTTCCTTCTGTATACAAGACAAATCCTACAAGAGCACAAAATAATGTAAAATTTCTGCAGACTGAAAATACATCTATTAACCTTTACATCATGAAAATGAAAGAACAATTATAACAGATGATTAAAGATTTCAGATCAAGTCATGTGATTTCTTATTTCAATCACAAAGTATTCATATAATTTCAGTTTTCCATTAAAAAAATCACCAAAATTTTGTACAATTACTCTTTACGATTTCTATCAAACAATTGTACAGGTTTGACTTTTTGTACTGGTGAAAGAACAGTTTTCTTGGATTTACCTGGTATAGGTACATAATCACACTCTCTCCTCAACAATTTATCTGTATCTTTCCTCATTTTATGTTCATAATCCATCAGTAATGTTTCTGCCCTGCAAAAAAATATCAAAATAAAATGTTAGTGAACTTGCTTTTGCAAAAAAAAAATCATTTTATTTGTGCCCTGTCCAATTTAACACCAAACAAGAAATAATGTTGTTACAGCAGTCTTCTATTCCCAACAGAGACAAATACTAAATGCTTCATGGTGCAACTCTAATAGAAATGTATGCAAGATGAACCATGTACATTGGGTGACAGATGGATCTTGGACAATGGGTGACAGATGGATCATGAACATTGTGTGACAGATGGATCATGAACATTGGGTGACAGATGGATCATGAACATTGGGTGACAGATGTATCATGGACATTGGGTGACAGATGGATTATTAACATTGGGTGACAGATGGATCATGAACATGGGGCGACAGATGGATCATGGACATTGGGTGATAGACGGATCTTGGACATCAGGTGACAGATGGATCATGAACATTGGGTGACATATGGATCATGGACATTGGGTGACAGCTGAATCATGGACATTGGGTGACATATGGATCATGGACATTGGGTGACAGATGGATCATGAACACTGGGTGACAGATGGATCATGAACACTGGATGACAGATGGATCATGAACATTGGGTGACAGATGGATCATGAACATTGGGTGACAGATGGATCATGAACATTGGGTGACAGATGGATCATGAACATTGGGTGACAGATGGATCATGAACATTGGGTGACAGATGGATCAATGATCCAAAAAGCTGACATAAGCAATGTGTGCTGGAGCATCAGCACTACAACAAAGATAAATGACAACACAAGCAGTAGGTGGTTGACAACCATTATTAAAGAAATAGGTTATTGTCAGCAGGACTGGAAGGCAATTATCTATCCATATAAACTTACTTCTAAACTTGGTAAGATATATTAAAGTTTGATCTTCGTACTGACCTTGTGTACTTTTCTTCAGCTAATTTCTCCCTAACAGTAGCACTTTTGTTTTTGTCTTCTATCATCTTTTCACGAACATCCAACTCTCTTTCTCTTCCTAAAGAAAATATACATTAAACTGTGATAATGAAAAATTCTTGTTTACTGCAAAGATATTTGAAGTGTTGAAAATAAAAGAAAACTTCAATGTGTACATAACACCTTAACAGATATTTCCATTAAAATTTATATGAAAAACCTTTTTGTAAATTGGGTCTTGATGATATATGTGAAATAAGCCTGTCAATATAACTGTCTCATTGTTTAGCTGAGTGAAAACTTCTTATTATTTTATGTTCAGATGAATACAAGCTACGTTAATATGCTGGTAAGCTTCATACAAGGCATCGTCGGATACCCACGGACCAACAATTAACATTTATCAGCTGTGGGATTTCTGACCGATATCCAGTTGATTAGAGGTGTGTCAAAGACACCTATTTCATTGGTCGTCTCACAATTACATGAAGTGATTAAAACAAATAAAAATTCTCATTCTATACAACATTCGGTATTTAATACAGACAAAATTGTGGCAACAAATTAAATTCAGCTGTGAAAAGTTCAATATTAAAAAAGTGAATGATTTCCAGCAAAAAAGCATAGAAAATATACAAGTTAGTGACCATTGTCTTACAACTGTGCCTTGTCATGATAATCAAGTTAGAGATTTTTCACTATAGTAGAAAAAAAAACGTGCTAAAAATATGTTCAGTACTTTTTGAGTTATCATGGGATCGAGTTTTTGCGGAAAGGCAGACTGACTGACGGAGAGACAGTAAACCTGTTGTCCCCTGCGGCTATACCAGTAGGACACTAATAACCACATGAAACAGACATAAGTTGCACTAAGCAAATCCATTGTATAACTTAGAATGAAGAAGAACAAGAAGGCCATGATTACCATATCAAAAATAAATGGTATGGTTATATGTTATGTTTTTTACAAAAAGCCAACTTACTTTCAAGATCTTTTTTTTTATTTTCTAACTCTCTTTCCAAATTTCTAAGTTCCATTTCCCATGTTTTAAAGTCTATGGAAGTATGCTGTTGTCCTGACATTTTACGCTCTAGTTTTATGCGTTTCTGAGACACAAGTGGGTATTCTAACAGCTCTTCTATGCTTAATCTTTTGGAAACCTGAAACAGATGTAATTTAAACAAACTTTTATTTCTGTACTAAGGTATGTAACTGAAGACAAAGCAATTTACAGCAGCCATTAAAAGTGAAGTGATGTAAACTTGTGTGCATTTTATTGCAAGGAGCATATTAGTTTTTATTAAAAGGCTTAGCAGTAGGAAATTAAATCAGAAAATGTTCTATTTCACACAAAAGCAATGCAAATATCACTAAATTTTATCTGCTAATTTTCAATGGAAACCAAACAAAAAATATTCCAAATTCACAAGACCACCGATATATGGAGACAATGTAGGACCGTTATTAGTAAGACCAACCAGTACATTTTTTAATCTGACAAAGTAATAGAAAGATTCAGTTCAGCCAGTAAAACAGTTGCCTGTGCTTGATAGTAAAAGAAATAAAATGTTTGACTTCAAAATAGGGTAGGTTTATTCAAAATCCATGAAAGTTATAATTTTCCTTCATAAAAGTCTACATCTATTATCTATGCTAGAGGCTATGATTAATTTAACTCAGCATTGCTGCATGTAAAATAACTAAGCTGCAGTGAGTAAAAACACAAAACATTAAGAAAACAAACTTACCTCAACATGTAACATTTTGCCAATAACTGTATTGAGATCATCAGAGTATCTAACTGGAATGCGACTGAAGTCCCCGATTCTTATCTTTCTATTTAATTCTGTTTGGTTTGAGGCAATAAAAGGTGGATGAAGGGCACAGAGCTCATACAGAACACAGCCCATTGACCAGATATCACTCTTTTCATTGTAGGCCATATTGTTCACAAGTTCCTGGAAAAAACAACAATAAGAGTTCCGCTAAGGCTGGGCAATATTAACCCTATGGCAAATTTAAAAGAAGGTAAAATGAAAAAAAAACTGTCTAATTTTTTAGGTAAAAGCATGTTTGTAATAGATTATTTGCAATAGAAGGGGCATAACTTTGTCACTAATGAATAAATTTCAGAGAAAAATCAATGTAACCTGTGTTTTGATATAACAAACATACAGGCAAAGTATAAGCACATTCAAAAGTTATCCTGTGGTAACAGAAAATCTGGTTAAAAAGGGGGATAACTCTATCATTTATAAGTTGATTGCAGAGGAAATCGAACTTGACATGTGTTTTGATATAATATGCCAAATTTAATCACTATTATTTAAGTTCTTCAAAAGTTATGCAACAGAAACCAATTGTCTACAGACGAACATTGGTCTAAAATGGAATATGTGGACTCATTACTTGTGTTGTTTTCTTTTGTTTAATAAAAGGCGATTGACCCCTTATTCTATTGTTATGAAATGAACTGTATTTTTCTTTTTGTTCTGTTTACAATTAGATGGACCCTATACCTATTTGGTAGTGAGGACAGACGGACAGACAAAGCCATACCATTAAAATCTCTAAGTTTCTTTTGGCATATAATAGTAAAACACAGCTAAGTCCAAATTGATTACTCTGCTGTGAATTTCGTACCAATATCGTGAATACGACTGTTGAAGTTTACCTGTTGACTATCTACATGTATAAAGTGTACATCTGATAATAATAAATTTATTGAACTCCCGAGTAATCTGTGTTTGGTCCAGGGGTACCGTACCTGTACTCTTGAGTCTTCAATTGAAAAAGAGTGCAAACAACAAAGGGGTCTAGGGCCCTGGATATCTGATTCTGAACTGTGAAATGTGGCAAGTACATCAAAATTAATATCGTCTGTAGTTAAAGTTGAACTTATTAAATATAATTTCTAATTTTAACCCTGCAGACAATGATTTAAAAAGATATTTTGTTATTAAGTAATCTGGAAAATTTTGTAGCACAAATGTACATACATGCATCTGAATTGCAGTTTTGTTAATATACCAGTAAACATTTTAAAAATAACATATTATTGCTTCACAGAAGATCTGTAATAAAATAGATGAAAACTTGGAAAAATGATAAAGTATTCATAAAGATACAAAAAATACAAATTATACAAGATTTCAGAAAGTTTTACAACACAGTCAACCTACATGTCAAAAGATTATACAAAACTGAAATCCATTTACTTACATGTATTTACTAGTAAACACAACAGTGTGCTGGAAATTTATTCAACTATTCATTATAAAGGTACCGGTAAAGAATAAGTTGTAAATTTATAACCTAAATGAGTGTCAATATGGCTTAGAACAGAATGTAACTTACTGGACTCATGTAATATGGAGTGCCGACATATGTATTAGCAAAGCTTGTCTCATGATGTAGCACCCTTGCTAAACCAAAATCACCAAGTTTCACATTCTTATCTGTGTCAAGAAATACATTTGCAGGCTTCATGTCTCTATGGAGAACAGCACGGCCATTTTTCCGCTGGTGACATTCTTGTAGAGCCAGGGTAAGCTGTATCAAAATCTTCCATATAAACTCTTCATCTAAGTAGGCTCTACAAAATTATTTGTCACATTCTTATTTTCTTTTTAATTTTCAAATTTTCTTTTACTTTTAGTTTGTAACTAGTTTGAGCAAAGTGATTGTCTAAGATTTCATGCATTAAGGAAAATGTAACCTGTGAAAGCAAAATTTCTGATGAATCAAAATCATTTTAGTGATCATGGTATAAAATATCTCATGGATCATTTCTATGAAATTATAAAGAAATCAAAGAGACCAATTTTTTTTACAAAGAATAAAGCTTTCCTTTATGGTTGAAACAGCAACCAAAGTTTTGCATAAAACATTATAAATTTTGAAATAGAATTACCAAAGAGAGTTATAAACATTCTTAAACACATAAGGTTCCTTGACTTTGACTTGTTTTAAAACAAGATACTGTTTACCAGAAAAGTAGACTGAAACACTAAAGGCAAGTGTTTGCAACAGCACATCTTCAACATGTTATTCTCTTGTTGACTGAAAACTAGAGCGAACTTACCCTTCTCTTTTATTTTTGGCTATGATGGTTGAAAGATCCCCACCTTTACAATATTCCATCACAATATAAATTGTAGTACGAGCCCTGTCTATAATTCTGTCATAATATCTAACAATGTATGGACTCTTCAGTTCTCTGAGGAGATTGACCTCAGATACCAACATCTGTTTCTCTGTCTCTGTCATTGACCCATAATCAAGCTCCTTCCATACAAGTATCTAAATGAGATTATTAACTTCTTACTTATTCATGCTAAAATATGCTGACAAATACAAGCAGGGTGTTCACTAGCCATGAAATCCTGAGGGTCATTTTGACCAGATACAAGGCAAATCCCCATGATTTTAACAAAATTTGACCCTCCAGTTAAAATCCTGTGGGTCAAATCAGGTCTTTTTGAAATTTGAAGGGTCAAAGTGTCATTTCAAGGGTCAAACGGACACACTGACAAGTAAAATAGAACTCTAAATCTATCAAATATAGTATATAAAACTAATCAGTCAAAAGTTATGTTAAGACTTTAAATATTTAATATATTTTAATTTATCGACATAATTTGAGAGGCAGTTAAAAATTTCTATCATATTTAATGAAACCAGGCATTATAATGATTTTTATCTTAAATAGTTTGTAAGTTGAAATGGTGCTAGCCCTTTTTTCATCTTGAATGATCATGTCAGACCAAGACATGATCCTTAATTACCTTGCCATCTTTTTTCCTTTCAATTTTCTTACAAGTTCCATAAGATCCTGTGCCAATTGTTGATAGTACCTCAAAGTCATCAAGAGTTGTTGTTTTACTCCTAGAATAAAATATGTGATTTACCTTTAAGGTGTCAAATTGATTTTTCAAAGAAGTCAGAATATAAATGTCCCTCTAAAATTATTTGCAAACAACTTCACTATACTTTCTGTCACTTAATTTTTTTCATTCAAGCTTAGACTTTATATAACAGGTCATGCAACAGCTGAGTAGATAAGCAATCTAATATGTCGGTATCCAGTAGGGATGTAACAATACGGCAAAAAACGTATTGCAATATATTGCCATTTTGCTGAAATGTATTGCAATATATTGCATTACGTATTGTTGTATATATAGAGCTGTCATCGATATCGACAATATCGATGTATCGTTGATATTTTTTTGTCGATCAATAATCGATACACATTTTAAAAAATCGATACTTTTGACTTATATATTAAATGTCTAGAAATTATACAATTCACCCAAAATATATGCAGAAACAGTTATTTATATCTAATGTTATGCTTTTGTTATATAGTGGAATTATTTCATAGCAATGGTGACAACATGTTTTTGACTGAAATCATTGAAACAGGTATGAAAGTGAATGACAGACAAGTGAGTATAGGATATTATCGATATATCGGTGTATCGTTGATTTTAGTCACTTGATATCGATATATCGTTGATATGCTTTGCACTGAATCAATGACAGCTCTACGTATATATATTTTGATATGAAGATGGAGTAACATTTGATATGAAGATGGAGTTACATTATTTATTATCATTATATGTATATATTCTTAGTAAAAACTTCACAAAAATGTAAGGACTAAATAGAAAGTAAAGTGTCACACAATTTGATAAACAAAACTAGTTGCGCGTGACCTTTCACATCTGGGCCGCTTATGTAAATTATGTGGCCGCCTATTTTAAGTGTACTAGTTGTCAGATATTTTTATCTTATGTTGGCGCCGATAAAATTTGCCAGTTAAAGATTTTATGCGAAATTAGAAGGCTATTAATTGAAAATTATGATTTTTATAAAATACCGGTTTTCCAAAAATTGTATTGCGGTACGAAATTTATTTTTTTCATATTGCAATATATCGGTATACTGGTAAACCGTTACACCCTTAGTATCCAGTTAAAAGTCTAGTGATTGATAAATTAAGCATAGTGCTTAAATAGTACATTAATGCTTATATTACACAAAAATTACTGAAAATACATTGATACAATTTCATAACACACAATATTAAGACCATTATTTAATAAGTACAAAGAATTGAGGAGAACTAAAGACGGCAAATGTTGAAGCTTTGGATATTCTATTGCTTACTCAGCAAATGATTAAAGCTAGTATAAGAGGTCTCTTTAAGTTCAAATTTTCAACGCTAATGTTCTTCAAGTAAACATTAGAATGTTACAGTTTATGATTGCTAACATAAATTTACTTGAATAAGTATGCATTTATTGTTCTTAAAAACTTTAAAGGGACTGATTGACAGTCACAACAACTGACCAAAGAAAAAATAGCCATCAGGGTTTGACAGTTGTCCATTTTTAGTGGTCCCCAGCCAGTAGTCTTAAATAACAAAATTATAATTAAAATTCCATAATATGTACATATTTTAATTTGCTTATTTAAACATAAATTTACCTTTATTTTAACATATTAATATTTTGCTTTCATGATTGTAAGGTTTTACACTGCTCATGTCAATAAATTTAAAAATAACTTACAAATGAGTTTGTTTCATAGAGAGTGACCTATGAACTGAAGAAGGTCTAATTCTCTCTCCAAGACATAAATCTCCCTCCATTTGAATATTATTTGTATCAATATTATTTGTCCCAGTTTTAATAACATGTTCGCTACATGTTTGACTTTGTGTACTCTTTTCCATTGTGACAAGTTAATTGAACACAAATAGAAGCGAAATCCAATAGTTGTTATGTCTTACTGCATTTCAACGAAGTTGCCATGTACATGACAGCTGTTTTGAACAGCCAGTTAATTTACTATTTAGGTTAATCACTGTCAATTTATAAATATGTAGAACTTATGTAATAAATGGAATAATTCACAAAATGCAAGAAATAGTAAATGTAACAGAAAAATACAATGTATTATATTTTTTGGAGTTCTTCCATTAGTTGAATATCAGTGTCGTGATCATAATTGCTAATATTCATATTGATACTATTTTTAGAAAGATCCAACAAACATGATTGAACATGTCACAGGAACTATTTACAATAATAAACAATGATAGCCGCACTATATGCGACTTTTTTTACCTTCGTTCCATTCTTTGCAATACTTATGAATTATTTTAGTCTGCAGAAAATAATGCTATTCTGGATAAAGTATTGCTGTGTATTTATTGTCAACTTTGAATTTACCGCAAATCCGGTGTACCTAAACTAAAGCAGTAAAAAGAAGTCAAACGACATAAAGTGGCGTAAAGAGCAAAATCTTCATTTCAAATGTACAAAAGACCTCTAAATATTTCTTGCAAAATTTAAAAGACATATTAAATGTGAATAAGCAACAACCGTCTTTACCAATCACTTTAAACATAATGATGTTATCTATTTAAAAGAAATGTAAATGTTGCAAATGCGTTGAATAATCATTCATCGAAATTTTAAAACTCATTAAGAAATCTGATTTTAATGCAAAGAATTTTTCGTATTTAAAAGAGTTTCTAGCATTAGCAATTTGACATTAATTTTATGACCACATTTGAAATAAGCAGATTTATTATATACTTATAAATGTAATATTGAGAAATATTGATGAAATAAAATGCGTATTTTCATTTTCCGTATTTTCACTGTAAAAATTTATTTTTCACTGCAGTGAAACATATTTTCCGTATTTTCACTGGTGTCTTGCCGGACTACTTTCTTTTAAATTCTGCCAGTACACAAAATTTAAGGAAAAATCTTTCAAATTTTAATATCAAAAAGGAGAAAAATGTATATAATAAACAGAAAATTCAAGTTTTTCTATAAATACATGATTTATTTTCATCTTGTGGCATGAAAATTACCATATTACCATACTACCGCCACTCATGAAATATTTATTTTCATACCACTCAATGAAAATAAATCATGTATTTATAGAAAAAACTTGAATATCCTCTATTTATTACATATTTATAAATGATATATTGAGAAACATTGATGAAATAAAATACGTATTTTTATTTTTCCGTATTTTCACTGTAAAAATTTATTTTTCACTGATATTTTCCGTATTTTCACTGGTGTCTTCCCGGACGATTTTCTTCTAAATTCAGCTAATAAACACAATTAAAAGGGAATTCTTCCTTATTTATAATGTTAAAAAGGAAAAAAAGTATATAATAAACAGAAAATTCAAGTTTTTTCTATAAATACAAGATTCATTTTCATCTTGTGGTATAAAAATTATTATATTTCACTCGTGGCTGCTGAAATATCAATTTTAATACCACTCGATGAAAATAAATCATGTATTTATAGAAGAAACTAGAATATCCTCTATATATTGACAACCTTGGAGGACACCGGTTAATTAAATACTATATAACGAGAGGAATAACGTCAATTTTAAATAAATAAAACTATTTTTCTAGGAGTATTCCTAGATAAACTGGAACTTTACACAAAGGGGGAGATAAGTCAAACTCCAATAATTACATGCCAATATCTATTCTCTCAAGAATTTCAAAATAGTTGAAAGGCACGTATTGCTTAATAATTATCTCCGTTATACCAACATCATTAATGAACACGAAGGCAGGTCTACGGAGATATCATATTCTTGTCAATGTTCAACCTTATAAATCTTTATTTAAACATCATATTTATGATATAAAACCATTAAACATTTATTTACAGAATCTTTAATGTATTGTCTTAATTAGCTACCTTCGTTAAATAAAGAATTTATTGTTTTTATTAAGCACGGCTTGAAATTTTATTCTTTCTTGTCCTTTCTTTCACTGGAGTACCTATTAAGAAGATTCCAGTTTAGGATCACTATTTTTCAGACCTTGAATTTTGTTTACATAGAGGATATTTGTTTAGTTCAGTGTAAGATCGGAATATATTTCACCGAGTGAGCACCAAAAGGTATATTTCACGAGTGGCGCAGCCACGAGTGAAATATAAAACTTTTGGTGTTCACAAGGTGAAATATATTTCGATCTTACACTAAATTAAACAAATTTTCTTTTTATTATATGCAAAGAAACGTTTTAAAAAGACATTAAACCTAATACTGAATGAAAAGCGCGCCAAATAATAATACAACGTGACGTCATTTACGACGTCACGTCATTAAGTTGGTACCAAGTTCTGTGCACGCTGGTATTTCACTGAAACAACGTTAGGGGCTTAAATTCAAAACAGTGAAATTATCAAAGTGGTAATTTCACTGTTTCAAACAGTGAAATTACCATTTTTATATCACTGATATATTTCTATAAACCACCGAAAAGCATGTAATAAAATGGACTTATTTAATTCCCATTTCTGTCTTATACTGTTTGCTTTCCTCTTCTATTCGCAAAATATCTAAAGATCTGTTTACCTTGTATTTTCCCCCAAAAAAGTTACTCATCCTAGTATTTTAACAATTAATGTCAAACCAAGATTTATCCGAACAAGTCCGCTTCCCAACATTAGGCTATGTGGCGACATGGCCGAGTGGTTAACGCGTCGGACTAGTAATGATCGCTAGCCGCATGGGTTCAAACCCCGTCAGGGGCAAGTCGTTGTTTCCTTGAGCAAGAAACTTTACACTCATTGCTCAGTACTGGTTGGTTCCAGGAACGGATTCGAAAGTGTGTCTATAAGCTTAAAGCTTCCTACACAATCGAACTAAGATAAATTCTGTATAAACCAATATTAGGCTTTTTGTTTTTATAGGGCAATTATTCCTGATCAAATTGTCGCAGATTTTGAGCTGCAGTAAAATTCTATCTCATACTTTTTTGTAAGATTATTTTCAGCACAATGATTTGAATATAATCATCTAACTCTTTTTCATGAGATTTGATACTACATCATTATCAAATTAACTAATGAAATCTACTTTCAAATTTTTGTCTCATATTGTTTTGTGGATAACCCTGCTATCATCATTCTCAGCAGCCTGAACTCCACAATAATAACAAAGTTCTTAAACACAGTGACAGTAATGAATTTAATATCCAAGCAGGCTATTCTTGGAAACAAACTACCAGATACTCAAACATGATAACACTATCGTACATAGTTGTAGTTTTACCAATATATAAACCAGCGCCACACCTTCCATTAGCCATAGAGGCTCAGAGGGAAGACTGGGCTTGCCTAACTATGTTGCCTCTTTAAATAAAGTTTTCATCATCATCATCATCATCATCATCATCATCACCATCATCATCATCATCATCATCATCATCATCATCATCATAATCATTATTATTATTATTATTATTATTATTATTATTATTATTATTATTATTATTATTATTATTATTATTATTATTATTATCATAGCCACATATTAACCTACCGATTTACAAAGTTATAATATTCTTCTTCCATAGTTATCACAAGAAAAGTGTGAGGTTGTAACACTAAGTTCAAATTAAATTATTTATACCAGCATCATTATAGGTAGCACGATTAAATTTCAAATTTGCAATGTATCTATCTACTTCTTTAAAAGAAGAATCACAAATTATAGAAACATGTAACGAACTATCATTTAAATGGAATGAGTTCATACCAATAACACTAGAAGATTCGTTAGTAACACTATTTTTATCCTTATGGATAGTTTTTGAAGAAGTTAATAAAAGCTCTGAACACTTCCTGGAATGAGAACATTAACTAGGACATTAAATAACATTCTAATCAACCTCATGGTTAGTTTTTGAAATACAATGTAGTTATAAGTTCTGAACATTTGTAATGAGAACACTGTCTAGAACGTTGTTTTTTTCACATTGTCCGGATGCCGTTATGTTTAATTCCATCCCGTGTATACTCGTACATGTTTTTTTTTGGTCCTTGGACTGTTCTTGACAATTACAAATATATTTACCTTAAGCCCGTCTTACACAAAACACGGTTTGACACACGATTCCCATACGGTATACTCGGTTATACACGGGTTGACTCCCAGCAAACACATGACGTTATATAAATAACGTCGGATTAATGTTAGATTTTGGTCACGACGTCGGCGACCAAAATACGACGTAAATCTGACGTTAAAATACCGATGTCTAAATAGAGGATATTGAATGAGTGTAGGTTTAATACTAAATTTATTGAACGAGTTGAATAAAATCATATTATGCGAGCCTCTGGCGAGCATAATATTGTTTTATTCAACGAGTTCAATAAATTTAGTATTGAATCTACACGAATATAATATTCTATTTATCACATATATAAAATAAGAACGGTAAACTGTTAACAAAATTCATTTTTCTTTGACGAGCCTATAGTGTAACGCTAATATTAGCGCGTTTTATTACATGTTTTGCAGTAGATTACTGAATTATAACGGTTAATTATATTCTGATAATTTCACAGTAATGATTACCAAATATAATTTCACAGTAGCCGAACTATATTTGGCGTAAAAATAAAATATTTATCATTAATGAATGTTTTTTCAGCGGAAATGTAGTCAATCATAATAAAAAATGTACGTGATAACTGTAGTTCGTAAATATTTAAGAACGTTGTGCTGAAAAACATCTAAAATCAAAAAATTATCATGGAATTATATTTTGCTTCAACATTGTGACGTCATTATTTGATGACGTCATGAAGATAAGAGCATGACGTTACGCGGCAAAAATCAGTAAAATGGTGTAAAAATCGTTAAAAAATCATGAAATAAACAGAAAATTTGTTTGTTTTACATGTGAGATCAAATAATATTTCACTCGTGAACCCCAGCTATTATATTTTCACTCGTGGCTACGCCACTCGTGGAAAATATTGCATCTGGTGTTCACTCGGTGAAATATTTTTCGATCTTACACTGAAACAAACAAATATCCTCTAGGTTCTGGTCGGTGTCCTGACGGTAGGTAAAAAAAATAACAAAAAATAATCCTTATTCGCTGTTGTAATCATTTAAACTTTTTTTCAAATGTTATTTGGATTACAAATGAAGTGTTCTTATATAAATACAGACCAAGATCGCGGCGCTGCAACTAAGGCCCCCACGATTACACGTTTAAACGGATTCGTTTCGATTTTCATTCATAAACGTTTACGATATTGTTTACCGTTTAATCGAAATGACCATATTGTCTTACACAATTTCTTAATCATTGCCTGTAATCATGGATTTTATCAATTCTGGTGGTTTATTCCAAAGAAAACAAATTGAAAATAGGTGTTTACAACCCTCCACAGAGCATTACGGTGCAAAATTGCTCGTGACATAATACATTTTTGGTAAAAAATGGGGATACAATACAGAAAATGTGTGCTGACTCAATCGTGATGAGCCTTGCACATTCTTTATTTGTACATTTATATAAAATAGAAAGAAAGACATCATTTGGCGACTCAAATACATGGTGTGTATAGTACATAGAGGTACCACCGTTTAAACGGTATCGTTTCGGTTCTTAGCAATCGTGTAAACGTTTACAAATCAAAGCACAGAAGGCCCTGAATTTGTTTGGGTCTCAGAATGTAAGAAAGGTGCAGGTTGTGAGATTATATGTATAGTGCCACCAATGCTTTCCAGCGTTTGAATTGTAGTAAATTGGCTATAAAACTAATTGCAACACTGTTATTCAATCCAATGTTTATTTGACTTTAACAATTTGAAAAAAAAGCGAGCCCGAAAACCCTTCAGCCACGGTGAATTTATATGTGAACAGCCTGAAGAAAACCATATTATTCTAAACTAGGGCTTGTAACGACTTTAACTGTTGTTTAACACAGATGTAAATAATCCTGGAGCATACTATAAGCATGTATATTTATAAAGAATCAAAGGGCTGCAAGTTCTGTGGTATTTTCTGATCTTTGCAATCTTAATCGTACTGTATATCTGTATGCATTTTCCTGTATAAGTTTATTTTTATGTATAATAATTCATTTTGCAAGGCACCAGAGTTTGATACATACGGAATTCTGCATAACTAGAGTTGCATCAAAAAATCATTTATGTTCATTTTTTACGACAGCCACACTTTATCCTTGCATATCATGGCTACTTCCTTAACAAAGACACTTAAAAAAGAATTTAACAAAAAAAAAAAAAACTTTCCTCGACTGGGATTCGAACTCGAGAACCCTCACTCTCTAAGCGAGCGCGTTACCACTATATCACGGAGAAGTTATACACACAAAGTCTGAATAACATCAAGTCATTCTAAATTTAGAACTTCCATTGCATTTCGGGTTTGTAATCCTTATTAATTTCGAGGTATTTTGTTCAGGATAAACCTGTTGTTTAAAATTGAAGTAAATATTTTAGCGAAAGTCTTCTCGCCCAAACAGTCCGACATGTAGAATCTATATATTCCACTACTCGGTTTGTGTAGTATTCGGTAATCGACATCGCTAAAAATAGTATTTTCATTGATAAAATCATATTCATCCGCGTAATTTGTGATTGTGCATTTATTGACAATTCTATAAGCCAACGCTATTGTTTAACTTTGAATGCGTTGTAATTTGTTGGATACTTGTAACAAAATAAAATATTTCTTTCTTTTAAATCGCTAGTTTTAAGCTGTTTTGAGAACTACTTGTTGTTAGGTTTGTCGTAAACCTCTGTGTCAGAGATTGAATGTCCGCTTTGTATTTACTTATTTTCGATCAGAAAATACAATAAAACAATATTAGAAATCTTCGACCATTCGGGAATCACTTTGCTTGAAAATTAACGCGCCTGTCTTTGACCATCTTTACGCAGTGATCTCCCCTGAATTTTTCGGCGTTAGTGTACATACAAAAGGGAAGTAACCGCTTCAAAAAAGTGGACTACTTTCGGCATTTGCAATTAACAACATTAGACTCTGAAATTTCGCTACCATTATTTGTTTGGTCTGACGACCCAAACAAATAAATTTTGTAATCGTGGGAGCCTTAGCTGCAACCTAATAAAACATATAGGTGGCGCTGTATATAGGCAAGTTACATGTGTTATTGTTATGAAATCTATTTATAGCCACAGATCTGTTTACAAGTTCCAATCATTTAATGTTATAATATTATCATTTGTGGTACAATTATATGTATCAAAATCACGAGTTTTTTAATAGTGCTTTAACATTTAATCATAGTGACAGAAAGGGGAAAGAAAACATAATTAACCTATAATTCGAATCTAAAGTCACGTGGATGGAAATTCAAATTCGTAGGCGTTACGTTTTTGGCTGTCGGTCAGGAATCGGGATGCATTGATAAAGTGAATATTATAGATTTTCTTGAACAAAAAGGTCAGTTCAATTTATTTAGATTTATTTTTACTTTGTATTTGATAAGTAACTGCATGATTGCAAGCACTCTTAAATTTAATTATCATTATTTCAACAGCTGAAGTAAAATGTCACACAAATTCGCGATAATGTCTAATAATAAATCTTTTTAAAATTGACATGTTTTAACTCTGCTTGTGAAGAGTTTATAATATGCCTTTCAGTACTACCAAAGAGAATGCCTAGTTTTCATATTTTTCTTAAACTGTGATGTTTTTGTCAGTTAAAATCTGAGAATTGAGAATGAATTTGTACGATTTCGAGCATTTCGGACCAAGACGTTTCGGTCCCAAATAACCCAAAACGTTCCGGTCCCAAATAGCCCAAGACGTTTTGGTTCCGGACATTTCGGCATTAAATCTTTAATTTAAAACTATGAAATATTTAAGACTTGCGTAACTGTTCTATTTCAAACGTAGAATATATACATAAGTTAGAATATAATTTTCTTTTCAGGTAGTTAAAGTGTTGGACATGCTCTCAAAGGTCGGAGGGACGGAAACACGTGAATATGTAAAAAGAAACATAGGAAAGTAAGATTTTTGTAAATTCTATTACACGTTAATCCATACTAAACTGGAGTTTAAATGCGGCTTTTTAAATGTTCAGTATTTGTGTTTACTTTTAATTTTTGGTAAAGCTCTCTTATAAAAAGTTGGCAAAATTGTTCATTAACCCTTTCGCTGCCAGAGGGTTATTGTTTTATTGATCACCTATTTGCCAGACGGTTTTCAAAGTAATTACTATATTATTAATTAATATAATTATTATTATTTGTTATTAGTATTATAATAATTATATATGTTTCCAAATCTGTTAGTATAATAATAATTATTGTCGATGGTATAATTTTCTTTATATTTATTATTATTTTTATTATTATTATTAATTTATTATTATTACTATTATTATTTTAGAAACGGCTAAAGCCGTCCATATGGCAGAAACGCCGAGAATGACAGGGACGGCATAAGCCGTCCCTATGGCAGTGAAAGGATTGAGTTAAGATAACAATGAAAACATGTTTGCTTGTTATTTTTCCATGTTTCATAATATTTTTTTTCAGTGAAAATGATGTCACACACGCTATTGGACGCTACAAACGCTACATATCCTCCGGACAGACGAGGGGTGCTGAAAGAAGCTCATATCTTAAAGCATCACACCTCAAAATTCGTGCTAATTCTCATGGATATCTAAAAGTATAACTTTGTGAAGTAACTAAAAGGCAGCAATTTATACATTACTGACAATTATCAAAGAAGGTCAAAATATGCAAAATGGCACTAAATGTTTTAGAAATGCTGTAGAAATATACTTGAAATACTGAAAATCTGTCATTAATTGCTTGAAACATTATTATCAGAATCTTTTAACTTTTCTTAAAATTATGATATTTTCATTATTTTATTTGATAAGGCAAACTTTGATAGAAATGTGCATACATTGTTTTGTTCTTTAATATTTGTACATGTTTTCTTAGTTTCATTTATGTCATTGTTTTTGTAATACTTTTTGTTTTGTAATTAATTTATTTTATGTTTTATTTTGTTTAATTTATGAAAATTATTTAACCTTGCAGAATTTACTAAAATTGTATGTATCAGCTTAAAATTGCAACTTTTATTTTAAATTAAAAAAGCATAAAACATAATTTTGCTTTTAGTTTTCTGTTATACATTTCATTGGATGGAAAGTTACTAAATAGAATGAGTTACATTAAATTCTATCAAATCATGATTAGCCAGAACATATTTATGATGTGGTGAAACAAAAAAGATTAGGGAAATGATCAGATGAAGGTCAGAAAATGATCAGATTTAGGGCAGAAAAGGGTTAATATTTAGGTCGGAAAATGGTTAGAAACTGGTTAGGTTTAGGTCGTAAAAATGGTCAGATTGAGGTTGGAAAATGGTTAGATAATGGTCAGATTTTGGTCAGAAAAAGGTTAAATAATGGTTAGATTCTGACGTCTACCTGACGTCAGATTATTATGTCAAAAAAACTTTCAAATCCAACCGTTTTTCCGACCGTCATCCGACGTCAGAACTTGACTTAAATCTGACGCCAGTATGACGTCTTGTGTTTGCTGGGCTGGTTCGAGTCAGGCTCGAAATATCACACATTTGTGTATGTTTTGATATAAATTAATCCATTTTGATGACTTGGCTTCATGAATTTTCGAAATTTCAACGAAGAACACTTATATATAGATCATTATAATACTGCACGTTTGTAACGTCGCTTTTCATTGGATAATCGTGACGTTTATATATTTTTATATACACGGCTGCTGTCGATTTATAAAGAAATCTCGCTTTATTCCTCTAAAAATGATGTTTGCTGTTTTATAAATTCGTTATAAAGATTGTTGACAGGTTATATGGCCTTATATAAACGACTGTTTGCAATATAACCCTCGCCTAGCGGCTCGGGTTATATTTACAAACAGCCGTTTATATAAGGCCATATAACCTGTCAACAATCTTTATAACTAATATTAACATCAATAAATGAATAAAAAGTGAAGCAATGTAAAATGAATGTGTCTTTTTTTGTTGTGTAGCGGTTGCTGGAGGGTCCACCGAGCTGGCATTGGAGTCTGAATCCCTGGGAGACACGGTTATTGCCGGTTGGTCCTCTAGCTTATCAGGGTCAATAAGTTGGAGTGGTCGGTGGGCCTGGATGGCTCTTCTTGTATTCCTTCTATGCGTCCAAAACTTCTTCTTTGGATACATTCTAGTGTGATGCAGCAAACACTCTTGGTAGGGTGGCAGCAGGTAGTTGTGTTTTTTGTACAGTTCTTGCTGACGTAGAGGCCGTGTTAGACCGTACGAGGCCGTGTGAGACCCTGTTTACCCGTACTTTACCGTGTCGGCCATGTATGTTTCGTATATGAACCGTATTGGTCGTATGGCGATCGTATGCAACCGTTTGTGCACTCGTTTGAATCGTACCGTGATCTTGTGACATTCGGGTGTTAATCGGGTGTTGGATGTAGGACTTGGGGACGGTCTCGAACGATTCCATACGATTTATATACGACCTTGATACTGTTGGGCTCACTCGTGGAGTGAACTTCACATACGGCTGTATATACGGTCTCATACGGTCTCTTACGGTCTTGTACGGTCGCTTATACGGTCATACACGGACATGGCATCCGTACCAGTTTTTTATAAGTTTTAAAAATCATATACGGCTTACACGGATACACTCGAATGGCCCGAGTGTAACTCGGATAACGCTACGGTTAGTTCGGTTGTATGTACGGTTTACACGGGTGGTCAACCGTGTAAGCCGTGTGTCCTGTGTGAGATGGGCTTTAACGTTGTCAAATCGTCCGTAATAAAAACTCCTTTGTAAATATCAGAGAACATGAGAAATTCTTTGATTTTAAACACGTGGATCAACTTAGCCCTTGAGAAAGAAACGAACTATCACTTGCTGTTTGCTGTTTTCTTTAGACTTCAAGAGGTGACACACACTAATGTCATTGGGCTAAAAAAGGTTGTCTAGTATCAGAACTAGCTCATAGTCAGGAGCTTGCCAAATTTCCTGACTGTGAGCGGGACACACTACTTTCCTCATGTCCTTGCTGTACCTAGCCTGGTATGAAATATTCAAATCTGATTTGTTCCTCCACCCAAGGATACGTTAATTTTTACGCATTGTATACTTTTCAAGCATGTCTAGTTCATAAAGATAGGTCAGTCGCAGGGTAAGTTTTCAACTTTTTAAACAGTTAGGCCTATATAAAATCCAATCCTTTTTTTAAGAAAATCGAATGAAATGTGATTCTACCCTCCTGACTCTACTCTACATTACCCATTTTTATTTTGGATTTCTATGCAGTCTTCATCGAGATATTCTTTCCGTCGTGGGTTCTGGTGTGTCCAGAACATGCAATGTGTATGAAGAAAATGTCACTAAACGGACTCACTGATCATGTTAAGCTTTGACCTCTAAACGTGGCCTTGACTTTGGAGAAAAGGGCTCGGGTGTTTTGCATGACACATCGTCTTATTGTCAACATTTATGCCATGTATTTTCAAAATCCATTGATGGATGAGATAGTTATGCACTGGAAACAAAATATACCCTATAACCGACCATTTTACCATTTTATTTGCATGGGCAAACTATTTAAGGCTTTGACCCTAAGTGTGACCTTGACCTTTGAGGTAGGGGTCTAGGTGTTGCGCATGACATGTCGTCTTATAATTGTGAACATTTGTGCCAAAAAATTTCAAAATCCCTTTATCTATAAAGAAACTATGGACCAGACACAAAATATACCCTGTAAAAACTATGTTAATCTTTGACCTCCAACTGTGACCTTGACCTTGGAGGTAGGGGCCGGTTGTTGCGCATGACACATCGTCTTATTATAACAAACATTTGAGCCAAGTTATTTTAGATTCCTTTGATAAATGACAAAGTTATGGACCGGACACGAAAATGTGACGGACAGACGGGCGGAGCCTATTTCTATATCCCGCTTTTTTCTTCGAAAAGGCGGGGACAACTAGATCATAGGCGAGTAAACAGAACTAAACTACAATGTAGGCCCCACGGATGTGATGCTTGTGTCGTTTACACGAGAGAAATAAGAAAAACTCGATTCAATGATTTATTTTATTTAGAGATATTCACTGACATAGATTTGATTATGTCAAACAGGCAATACAAATGTATCTTAAAACAAATAGTGGAAACTACATGTATATAAACGTTTGAAAATTATTAGCTTTTCATGTAAATCATTCTTGTTTTTGATTATTATCACAACAAACATAACTACGCACACAAAGTTACTTTAATCATTAGAATAGATAATAAAAACATCCGGGTTCAAAAACTTCAAAGAAACCACACGTTTATGGCTATGCATGTGTAGGTCTGCAGGCGGCACTAACAAGTTGCATGCGGTTCAGCCAATGACGAACCCAAACCTTTACTCTACATTGCATGTCCTGAAATTACAAGAAAAAATCGTGGCATAATGTGAGACAAAAAAGTGAATATTAAAGGCCCATTATGCCTTAGAAATACTATAATTTTCATTATTTAAAAACATTTTTTAGTTTTGTCACAGTTTCAAAAATATATAAATTAAAAAATACTCATTTGATATATACCCACACTATCTTTTGCTTATTTTGCATTGTTGATAAAAGGTATATTAAGTGAATTAGCATTTTGTACGAGACTCATAATACTACTTTGTTTACATTTTACTACATTTACGACTTGAACGTTATTTTTTCAGTTATTGAATATCTAACATGCTCTTAATTCACTATTCAAACATTTTAAACACATGTTTGGCATTTATAAAGAATTACAAAAATATGGATATCTGCGTCATAATGAGCCATTAAATCCCTCTACAGGTGATACGAGTGGTATATGATGTAAGCCAGAGAAAGGTAATGTTTACCGAATACGTAAGATTTATATTATATGGCGACGAGCTTTTATTAGTGCCAACTTTGCGACTCCGTACAAACGACCGTGCATATATTTTGACCTGACGTCATTTACGTTATATAATGATGATGATGATGATGATAATAATAATAATAATAATAATGATAATAATAATAATAATAATAATAATAATAATAACAATAATAATAATAATAATAATAATAATAATAAATGATAATGATAATAATAATAATAATAATATCCTTTTTAAAGAAGGTCACACATGAAGATCGTAGAAAACAAATAACGTACTTATCTTAATTTCAAATGTGGCCTTCTAATATATAGAAACACAAACACAAAACATCATTAAACAATAAAAACTATTCCGTTAAGATTTTGCCAGAGCTGGCATAATATAATTTTATTCCACTCGTTCAATAAATTTAGTATTGAGCCTACACTCATTCAATATCCTCTATATACAAGGGCTGTCCGGAAAATTTGTATAATTTTGCAATATCTCTAAAAATATTTATCTTATATTATTGAAACTTGGTGAGTATAAGTACCCAAATTTGCCTTAAGTGTATGTTTTGGAAAAAAAATGTAACCACTCTTATTATAAGCAACTATACAGGTTTCCAAAGCAACATGGTTATTGGTACAAGGGTCAGAAAATTTCTAAAATATTATTGGCAGTTAAAAGAATTACTCTCAGTATGCTTGTAACTATAGAAAGAAACTAAATTATGAGATTGTAAAGTGACGTATAAGGATTCAATCATTCATTCACTACGGCTAAATTTCAAATCGGTTTGAGTATTTGTACGGAAACGACACCACTTTGTTTCCTATCATTCGAAAATATGACGCAAATCGCTTAAGTTTAATTTTGTTTAGATAAAATATTGGGACAAAGGTTCAATTCAACACAGCTAGAGGAAAAACTGGTAGAGTTTGAGGTTTTGGTACACCAGCCATACAGTCCGGACCTAGCCGGCCCCTATTGGATTCCAGATCTTAAAGTGGCCTTCAGGGGGGAATAAATTGAATGAATTTTATTCAAGAGAGCAAAAATTGTGAACGTATACTCTCCCATTTGTTATGCTAATCTGTCTTCACTTAAACATTTTCGGACAGTATTTTAGTTCGGACTTTTGCCGCCAAGACAGTACCATCCTAGCGAATTTATAATCATGTTTTTTTCCAAAGATTTCATATACACTTGATTCCAATGAAAAGCACCAGAACTGTATACCATTTCTATATTTTGTTGCATTAGAAAATGAAATTTAGTATCCGGGATGTTTTTTTTAATAATAATAATAATAATAATAATAATAATAATAATAATAATAATAATAATAATAATAATGTTTGAAATATTTCCCACAAATAATCTACAATATATAATAACTTTTGATACGTCAACACAATATTTCTTACCTTTTTTTGCTCCGACTTTATGTGTATTGATATGTGATACATCCATCCAGCAACTATCTGAAAGTGCAAATTAGTACAAAAAATAAAATTTGTTTGACATTTGGCTAGCTCGATGTGAATCTAATATTTTCAAACATAATAACCGTAGTTCGACCTTACTACTATTACTATAAGTGAGTATATACTTTCCCAACGTGGTAGAATATATTTTGATAGAGTGAAGTACTAAATTTTACGTCCCAGTTCGTTGAAAAGAGTGCGCATCTTGATAAAAATGTTTCATTATATATATCAAAGGCATTTGACCTTTTTAATGATGATCATATTATACTTGTATGGACTGACGACATTTTCTAGTAAAGTATCAGTGTCAATGAGTCAATACAGTGCTGCATGTATGCGTACGGTGCTTCAAATGTGAGTCTTATTCTAACTATACGTTTGTAAAGTGGTTGCAATGCGTTCTGTAACGTTTAAACGTACTAACTTATAGAGAAGTAGTTCACATTAAATCATCTTATGTCTCCGTCATTTAACATATCCTACAAAAAAGCAAATAACTTTACTATGTAGCCATTTATTACTAGATGTTTTATTAAATGAAATGACAAACATCTTTCAAATATTAATAACCTTTTATGTGCAAACTATTTCAATGGAATGTACCTTTTGATTACATTTTCACATGCTATTTTGATACAATTGAAAATATGATTATCTGAATAATGGCGGCGTACGAGTTATGCTGATTTCTAATGTTTTATTTCCAAATTTACAATATTCACTATTGGGTGTGTTATAAGTCAAAATAAAGTAGAGAAATACATGGAACAAAGAATTATTAACACGTGGTATAATATAGAATGATTTTTCTAAAGTTTAATGCGTTTTTAACACATGTGACCATCTTACTTAGACATGAAAAGGCGCGCACCATGTGCTAGACAAAGTCGCAGTATTTAGTCTGTTCCTAAATCTTACTGTATTTTACCATATCCGACGCAGTTGGCAGTCATAACAAATCTTATTTTATCGAATTTGATAGGTTAAAGGACTTTTATATGTAAAATGTAACATTTCATCAACTTGTACGTAGTTTTCCACCGTTCAAGCACTTGACTCTCTCAAATTGATTATACTGAGCTGAGAAAATAAATACATGTACAATGGCCATGTCGAACTATAGTTTTGATTTTGGAAAATGATTTACAGAAATTTTACATATCGCCATAAAACAGCACCTATATACGTTGATTATCCCATATTGACAGCACTGGAAATTGCACATCTGATTTGAAGCGTAGCACCAATGTGCCAAAGCTGTGCATTGAGTAGGCGTGCATACGTTGTTCATGACAAAAAATTTTAAGTAAAAAAAAGTATAAACTGTTGAGTCTAATTACTGGTATGTTTTGATAAAGCACTCCTGGAACACAACAACAAGAAAGTTGAAGCATCTCGGAGTCTAATGCTACCCCAAAATTCACAATATATCTATGTAAACCTAATACAGTTAAGATCTATATCCTGATGTATGGCAAGCCCATATGGAAAAGCAATGCCAATGGGCTTCAAATTCGAGTTTACTAGGCGCAGCTCCCTTTTTACACTTTTAATAATTATGTGTATAGATTAATTAGTCCAATGTTTCAGTTAATACGTAAGGGAAATTTCGTAATTATTAACGGCGAGGAACATACATAACTGAAATAATGAAAGCAAAACCTTAAACAAAAATGGTTTAGAAAACTTATTTTCAAACCTGTTCATTAGCAGACGTAATTTTGACGAGAGTTCCTTTTAACTTATTGGCTGCCCATGTTGCTGCTGAAACCACTTCCGGGTCATCTGTATCTATTGGTTCCAGGTACCCTATCAATATGAAAGAAGACATAAACGTCGTAAACGTCTCTTTTTGTTGGGCTTTAAGTACATGTTAGCGGCCATATATCTATTTTCAATCATTACAAATATCAATATTTTGTGAAACTGAATACTAAAAATCGAACAAAAAGATATTATAAACAGAAACAAGATGGCGACTCTGAAGAAAACAATGAACAGATGTATCTAAAAGGATAAAAGGAAAAACTGTAAAATATGAAAACAATTACCGGAGGTGTATTGAGCAATTTTTCAAATATGTTAGATAATGAAATAATGTTTTGGTTTATACTTTGTATATGATGCAGTAAATCAGTAAAAAGATGAATAATGTGGTGAATTTTAAGTGAATAGATCTATAATTGAAGGTATATCATGCAATTGTTACAGTTTCTCTTTTACGATAATTTTGTGTATAGACTTAATTTAAAAGAAAGTAGTCCGGCAAGATACCAGTGAATATACGGAAAATATGTTTCACTGTGGTGAAAAATATTTTTACAGTGAAAATACGGAAAATGAAAATACGCATTTTATTTCATCAATATTTCTCAATATTTCATTAATATTTCTCAATATTTCATAAGTATAATTATGATAAATCTTAATAGTTCATTATATATAAACGTACTTATTATATTTATTGTCAAAGAAATAGACGGACAAACTTCATGATGCAGTGCTCTTTAAATTAGCAGTTCTTGTTACTGCCACTATAAAATATAAATGTTTTAGGGAAAACATGAAAAAAGGACGAACCTCCTCCAAGTCTTCTTGCCACAGAATTAGTTAATAGTCCACACAATAGACTGAAAATCGCAAGTAATCGGAAATACAACATTTCGTCTTATTTGTTATCAGGTTTATTCGATTTATTTTCTCTCTTTCTTTGAAAATAAGTTTTCTCTTCTTTAAATACAGCAATAAAATGATGCTGCATGTGAAAATCAGCACGAAATATAGTTTGAAATGACGGAGAGAGAACATATCCGTATGTACAAGTATTTCCTGTCATCGCCCGCGATATTCTGATAGTGTAAGTGTTTTGTTTACAAATGGATGACACGGCTTGCCACCTTCATAACTTTATTGTTACAAGTAATTATTGATTTATTGATAACCAAATCACAATACAGCATATCAAGAGACTCTTAATTTCCAATTTCTGGTGATTTTATCTTAATTTCTCACTATTGTATGGCCATGTTATACTAGTTATAGAACACTCAAAACACTCCGCATATGTCAATGCGTTGATTGAACAATTGATAAATACAGAACTAATCTTTGCGATGAATCTTTGAAAATTTATTGCACGAAATATTGGTAGTATTATGGAAAGTAAGTTATGATTGTTACATTGGTTTGTTCGTGGGCGGTTGTCATTCCGAGGAACAGTTGTAATCAATTTTGTGGAAATATTGAGACTACTGGATAGTGTTAACTTATATATTAATTTAAGGCTCAGTTCTTGCAACTTAATCACTATCGAGACCATTTCCTGGAACTTTCTTGTTAACATTTGCAATGTTTAATGAATGAATGAACTGTCACACTTAAAAAAGTATCATTTATTCTCACATTTACTAATTAATTGACAGAGACAGATTGTCTTCATCTAATGATCGCCATTTTAGAATCCTACTATAACACTAACGAATTGCAGAATAATCATGGTAAGACCAACGTACGGGAAAGAAGCGGGAAAATATCCTGTGTGACTCACCTTGTAATGGAAACAAATGACCTTCTCAAATCAATCTTTTAGTAAAAAATAATATTATTAAAAAAAAAGAAGAAAAAAAAAAAGAATAAAAACAGCAGCAAAAACAAAAAACAAGTAGACCTTGGACTCTTAGGCTTTTTATAGGATGAGCCATAGAACTTCCATTGAATGATAACGGTTGTTACACGAGTTCCTCAGGGGTCCGTGTTTGTACCCCTACATTACTACAATGCATGGCGTGCATTTAAAAAAATAAATTTACTGATGATGTTGCTATTAACCTAATTAACATAAACATTACATGTAGGTCAGCAATCAGAAACTATCCATCTTAGTAAAGTTAGAGTTAGATTGGGACATGAAGTACATGCATGTACCACCCATCTAAATGACAAGTAATACTGAGGTAAATGTTTAACGTGTATATCACCGTGTATATCCAGTGACGCAGGAATGTACAATTAACATAAAGTAACGCCGAAACTGTGCAACGCTATTGACAAAACAAAAAACACAGTAAGTAAACGAACCAAAATATTTTATTCTAAATCAAATTTTAAGAAATTAATTAGCGCATACGGCTGTTAAGACATTATACTTTAATCAGCAATACATTTTTTATTTTGAATATGTTTACTTTTTTAGATCATTCGTGAAGAAGACAACATGCTTACCGTTTTCAAGGTGACTTTTGTGTTTCGTCAAATAGATATGTACTTTTAACACATTTTAAACTATATTTTTTCATATGCTGTATACCTAAGACATTTGTCAAACTACAAGTGTAGAGCCATGAAACCAAAGGCGTGCACACGGTAATACACGATGTCAGTTTCGAAGGCAAGTTTTTCCGTCGGCATCTACACGTGTTACATCATGCATTACGTTTACTGTGTTACAATCGCATTCATTTTCTTCTGTTGTTTTTTCTGTCCAAGGTAGAATCTAAGAGTTTTTGGACAAAGTTCAGGAGGAACAGCAACATTTGCCTTGCTTGCGTCACCTCAGTGTAAAGGTCTTGTCCATAAAGCATGGCTTTTATCAGCTTCACCTGTGTTAAACAAAACCGCATCAGAAGCTAATGTTGACAACGAAGTTTTTCTTGCAAACGCAAATTGTTCTGACATTGACTGTATATACGCACTGTCGTCTGCGGAAGTGACGTATGCGGTTCCGTGGATGACATGTATATGTTAGTGTTCATCCGTGCTGTTCTACAGAAATAAGAAACTTCGACGGGAGCGATAGCGACAGGAGAATGTTTTTAATTTCTGTAGAACAGCACGGATGAATACTAACATATTTAGTGTCAACCTTTATTTGCCTCATTATCATTCACTTTATTACGTCACTATGCCGGTTCTATGAAGTACTATGAAAAATAGAAGTCGACTATGGACGAATTCGATATAGTATATCGATTTTGTTCTTCTATGAAAATTAACGCACAGAAATACAGCGTTTTCATTGGATGACAAATAAAGTTGGACACCAAATACATATTGGGCAATGCTGGACCAGAGAGACTTGCCTACTAAATATTATTTTGATGGAGCGATCGCCATTGTTGATGGTAAGAAATGAAATTTATCATTTATAATATGCGAAATTGTTTGTAATTAAATGCAAAGACTAGTTAATTTAACATATAGTTTAAGACTTGATGTATCAATGAGGTCATTGCTGATAGTTTTATGAAGTTCAATAAACATGCATTTGGATTTATTAGATTCTAAAGACATGGTTTCAAGAACACCAGTTAAGTATACAATTTTCCGTATGTCTTTTTATAGATCAGGTTGTTTTTCTAAAGGATTAGTTTTGAATTCTGTTATAACAGAATCATCTGCATATAACAATTGTTGAAATATCAAATTGCAAGTATTCATTTCTTTATATGTCTTTATTTCAATGAAAAAAAAAGAGCAAAGACTTGGAGGAGGCTGCTTATTTTTGTTTTAGTGGCCACGTTTTACACATTGAAGCCAATTCCCAGTAGATATAATATTGTTACTACTTGTTCTTTGTAGGTAATGTTGAAGCACCGTTTGATGCATGGGCGAACGGACACATTATTGATGTACCTTTACTCATTGGTCAGTATTTAAATTATACAATTAAATATTCTTTTACTCATTGGTCAGTATTAAGATTATGTTAATAAAGCTATATAGGTAAAGGCATAAGCTGGCATTGTTCCATTTCTTATATATAACAACTTGAAAAGTGTAAAGATCTTATTAATATATATTTTAATCAGATAAAAATTATAAAAAATTATAAGTTGCAATTTCATAAAATGAAAATACAAATGTATGTATATTTTAGGGTCATGTGCAAATGAAATAGACTACAAATCCAAGCGACATGACTATTAACAACTGGACATGGACTCAATATGAAAAATCATGTCAAGAAACGACAGGAACATTTGTCGCCTGACCTCAAACTGTACCCTAGTTCACTACATTACACCTGAGTATGGGATATCCGATCTAACTGTCCAAATGACGTCATGAGCATGTATGCAGCGTCCACTTTTAGTTCTCCGGTTTATCGTTACGTAGTTACATCGAAACCGTCCGTTCCAATTCACCCTGTTGGAATACCCTTTCCAGCACGTTACGCCATGCATATGTGGGATGTATTTGCTTTCTTTGGCTTTATACCTGACTACATAAAACATCCTACAGATAGTGAAATTCAATGGCAACGTAATGTTCAAAACGAGGTTCTAGAATTGGTACGCACCGGAAAACATTTTACGTCATCATGGAAGCCGTATCCAGCATCTACAGCAAATTTATCTGAGGTCACAGAAGCAATATCAGCTTACAACCCCGTACAATGCGCATTGTGGCTGTAGAAAGGGTTTTTCAGTTATTCTTGGATAAATTAAAATGTCTTTTAATAAAAGAGTATTTCTTTACGTGTATTGATTGTCGTCTGTTTTATTTTTGAAATTTAAAACAAAACTGTGTTTGGCACAAATGTTGACTGGGCCATTGCCTTTGTAATGACATGCTCAGTCTTAAATTTCCTGTTACCATGGCAACGAGGGGACATCTCAAATTGCCAAAAATCACTATTTTGTGTTGATTTTTTTAAAATTGATTTCAAAGTGCTGCAACTTCCTCAATGGATTGAGATAGAGTCAAAGGTTTTTCAGCGTTGGTTAAACATTACCTTATGATCGACCTGGGGTCATTTTTTTGCCTCTCACAAGTCCAAAATTTTCTTGGCGATGAGGGGGAGTACCGTCCCCCTTCACCCCCCCCCCCAAACAGAAGGGGGCAAATCCCCCTTCTGGCAACCCCCTGATGTACCTTTTTCGATAGGGGCGGCGCCGAAAAAGTGATCACGTTTTTAAGCAACATTTCCCAAACGAAAAACAGTGTTTTGGGCCTAAATAGGGTAATTTTTCACTCTTTGAGACCTCCAAAGGGGGGGGGGGGCGAAAAGCCGTCAAAACACGTCTTTATGAAGTAAAAGGTTAAACCGTAAGACAAAATTATATCATTTTTGACACTCAACAAAATTAAACGCCGCACTAGCTGGGGAAAGTAAACCGAAAAAAAGCTCGTTTTTTACATGGCTTGGGTTTGGGAAAAGAAATTTTTGAAAGTTTTTTGAACACCTTCCCCAAAACTGTATGCTATCAGTTTTAAAAACCTGGCAAGCATTTTAAACAGCAGATTGCAAAATAGCCGGGAAGGGTTTTAAAAAAGGGGGGCGTTTCCGGGTGAAAAAAAGAGTCAGTTTCAGTACCCCCCCTTTAAAAAAAATTGTAAAAAAAACGTAAGGTTTAAAAGGGGGGTTTCCGTTTCGTTTAAAAAACGAAGAAGGGCCTCCCCTTTAAAAGCATTTCCCAAAAAAGGGTTTCGCGTTCAAAGGGGGATAAATGTTTCACTCAAAAAAGAGTCATTTTTTTGCTGACCTTTGCTGAAAAAATTGAAATGGCTTTAAAAATTTAAAGGGGGTAACGTTGGGGGCCCAAAAAATTTGGGCGATCAAAGTTTACCTCCCCCGATAACATTGCGAATAGGGTCAGGGTTCAAAAGGAAGGTTATTGTTGCGCTAAAAAAAGATCGGTTAGAGTGACTACCCCTGTTAACATTGCAAATGGCGTAAGGGTTCAAAAGGGAGGTAACTGTTGCGCTTAAAAAAGAGTTGATAAGAGTAACCTCCCCTGATACCATTGCAAATGGAGTAAGGGATCAGAGAGAGGAAACAGTTGCGCTAAAAAAAGAATTGATTGCAAATGGCGCAAGGGTTCAAAAGGGAGGTGACTGTAGCACTATAAAAGAATCGGTAAGAGTGACCTACCATGATAACATTGCAAATGGTGTAAGGGTTCCAAATGGTGGTTACTTTTAGGCTTATAAGAGTTGGTTAGAGTGACCTCTCTTGATAACAGTGCTTATGGTTTCAGGGATCCAAAGGGAGGTTACTTTGCGCTACAAATAGAGTCGGTAAGAGTGACCTCCCTTGATAGCATTGCAAATGGCGTAAGGGTTCAAAAGAACTTTGCATGATTTGCATGTAAGAAGTTTTAAAAACTGTTTTATTCTGTATTTATTCTTTTGAAGCTCCTCCTAAATAAGATTTTATTTCTCAACTTCTTATAATATTTTATTTCTCCTAATTAAAATCTGGACCAAAACGCCTTTGTTAACGTTGTCATTATAATATGAAAAAGGCAAAGCCTCAAAGCGAGCTCGATGTACTTTTAACGTGAAATAGTATGAAATAATAGCTCATTTTTATTTCAAATGCAGTGACGAGTGCGTGTGACGTCACACGTACTGTGTTAAAAATGGCTCCGCCCATGTCGTTAAATTTGAAAACGTTTATAAAACTTTGTTTATTTTATTTCTCTCTATAATTTTTCAAGCGAAATAAAGATTATTAAAAGTGAAATAAATGTAAAACTTAAAACGTTTGCGACATTAAAATAGCGTAATTGATTTGTTTGTTTTGCACGTGCTGTTTGGCGCTACATTGTGACGTCACGTAAACAATACTTTAAACGTCTGTACAGCCTTAACGACTGAATAAAAGATATTGGTGTTCGGATTCATTTTCTTAGTTAGACCATTTTCTTTCATTCTAGATAGTTTTCACAACAAAATTCGACAAAAAATTGTTTATTTTTTTATCAGATTTTTCAACCAAAATGGCGCCTTCAATTTACAATTTTATACACAGCTTCCGTTATTCTGGTTCCCTGTCCAATTATGGTTCCCATAGACGTGCGCGGGTGACCAGTCTACACATCCGTTTTCAGTCAGAATTCCTCAGTTTTTATCGTTATCTTTAAATTCGAAAGGTTGCGATGTGTCCAATTCGGTACTTCGGACGAAAGTTTTCAAAACCATCACTTAGCAGGTACTCGCGTTACCGTAAAGCTCGCTTTGCGAGCAGGCCCTTCGGGCCAGCTCGTCGAGCTCGCTAATATGAAAAAGGCAAAGCCTCAAAGCGAGCTCGATGTACTAAATAGTATGTATGAAATAATCGCTCATTTTTATTTCAAATGCAGTGGCGAGTGCGTGTGACGTCACACGTACTGTGTTAAATATGGCTCCGCCCATGTCGTTAAATGAATAACGAGTTTTGAAAACGTTGATAAAACTTTTTTTGTTTATTTTACTCTATAATTTTTCAAGTGAAATAAGATTATTAAAAGTGAAATAAATGTAAAACTTCAAACGTTTGCGACATTAAAATAGCCTACTTGATTTGTTTGTTTTGCACGTGCTGTTTGGCGCTACATTGTGACGTCACGTAAACAATACTTTAAACGTCTGTACAGCATTGACGACTGAATAAAAGATATTGGTGTTCGGATTCATTTTCTTAGTTAGACCATTTTCTTTCATTCTAGATAATTTTCACAACAAAATTCGACAAAAAAAATGTTTTTATTTTTCAGATTTTTCAAACAAAATGGCGCCTTCAATTTTCATTCACAGCTTCCGTTATTCTGGTTCCCTGTCCAATTATGGTTCCCATAGAAGTGCGCGGGTGACCAGTCTACACATCCGTTTTCAGTCAGAATTCCTCAGTTTTTATCGTTATCTTTAAATTCGAAAAGTTGCGATGTGTCATATCAGTAATTTAGGACGAAAGTTTTCAAAACCATCACTTAGCAGGTACTCGCGTTACCGTAAAGCTCGCTTTGCGAGCAGGCCCTTCGGGCCAGCTCGTCGAGCTCGCTATTAGAGATTTTCGACCACATACATGCATCGAGGACATGTTTGAAAGAAAGTGAACGTGCGACCACATACACGCATCACAAGATTTCCCTTCTCTTACGAGAAAGGGACAAAGTGTTGACCGCCTTTTTAATAAAGGGCAGACTTAAAAAATATGCAATTGCCTTATATTATTGATAAGGAGGCTAATTTTCACCGATATGTCTTGAATTGGTTTATATACAACAACAGTAATGCAAACCAAGTGGGTTATCAGTTTACGTCTTTTTAAGTCCGCTATGAAATTTTAAAGGGATAATATATAACTTCTTGGAAAATTTTGAGTTTAAAGTTTTTTCTACTTTCTATTCTATGTATATAACAGAATAATTGTAATTTTGCAAAACATGAACGTTTCAAAAACGTTTTATATGCATTAAATATTGGAGATATATTTCACACGTTGTTTTCAAATATTATCCTGGGGGCATTTTTGCCGAAGTATTGTCCCAGGACGATAACTTGAGCCTATGTTTTCATAAAAATTGACAAAAAAATGAGAAAAAAATAGGTAAAGCAGACTGAAGCCTAATAAATGAAACACAAAGTAAAATGTCATAATTTCATGTGCCTTGATAGCGCAGTAACTGTAGGCAGAGCGTCCGTGTCAGTGTTGTTTCATGCATTTAGATGCTCGTACATTACATTTGAGTGTTTTATGTATCTTTTTTCTTATTACGTCTAGAATGCGATAAAAAATAACATCAGAAACAAAACTTTTTTCAAGAAAAATTATTATCTTAATTACGAGAGCTAGTTCTGTCGTTAAAGAGATAGCCATGTCGCCAATGAGATAGCTCTCAGACGTGAATCAGCTGCTAAATTAAGTTAACTTTACCAATTGTGTGGATTGTTTCCAGTCTAATACAGCACTTTTTTTAGACTAGTAAAATAATAGTCTATTTTTTATATCAATTTCAATGGTAACTGCAACATTGACGGACCACAAGAAATCACCCATTTGTACATTACAGCTCTCCGCAGAGCCGTTTAAGTTATTAATACTAAAATATTGCTTAGGTAACACAAAGCTCGAACTGACAACACAACATGTACCAACTATAAACTCTTAAAACGATTAGTAGAAGCAGACGACCAAACTCTGAAGTATTTTTAAGCGAACACGATTGTAGAAATCAATGCATGTGCTGCCTTTGATATTGACGTTTGGCGTCATTTCGAATAAATCTTTATCTAGGGCATATATACCTCTAAACATATAATCTAGTTGACAACATGTATCAAACACAGTATTGTTTTAAATTTCAATAATAAAGCAAACGACAATCATTACATGTAAAGAAATACTCTTTTATTAAAAGACTTTAATGTAAAAGGTTTTCCAGTGCGTTCAAATTCTAGAACCTCGTTTTGAACATTACGTTGCCATTGAATTTCACTATCTGTAGGATGTTTTATGTAGTCAGGTATAAAGCCAAAGAAAGCAAATACACCCCACATATGCATGGCGTAACGTGCTGGAAATGGTATTCCGATGGGGTGAATTGGAACGTACATGTAACTACGTAACGATAAACCGGAGAACTAAAAGTGGGCGCTGCATACATGCTCATGACGTCATTTGGACAGTTAGATCGGATATCCCATACTC